AACCATAGCGAAAGCATAGAAACAACAGTTCGTGTCCTATACAGAAGTTCACCCGCCATCTTGATTTCTTTTTGATCAACGAAAAACTGTCCAGCATCCTCTTAGATACCCATGAGAGATTTCTAAAAATTTGGACTCTATGGATCCAACATGCCTACCCCAAGATTCCAGCGGTGAGTTTCACCATGCTATGGCCGCATTATCTCTTATAACTTGAACCCAGGCATTCCAGTTGTTCACCGCCTGATCTGTATCTTCTCTTTTACTGTCCTCCTTTTCCTAGATTTTCTTCTTCTGGTTTTTCCACAGGGATGCCATACGAACCATGAGGTGTCTTGTACTTCTCCCGTGTGGATCACAAATTTGCGTATCGTGATTCATCAGCCATCTTTGCGTATTCGTGATTCATCAGCCATCTTTGGTATAAAGTGGTATCTTAAAGAGGATACTACTTTATACCAAAGATGGCTGATGAATCACGAATATTTAGTATCTTTTGTGTTTCAACTAACTAACTGACACATACAGTATGTTTTACTTCTGATCATTTGACAAATTGTTTATAATGTTACTTATGTCAATTTTGTCCTATTCATATATGACCGCCATTAACAGATGTCTACTTTTGCATCCTGGTTTTATGTACTAGTATGTGGTCACGTTTGATCTTTGTATTTAAAATGATTAAAAAACCTAATAAAAGTTATTGAAAAGAAAACAGTTTATCTTGTCGTAGTGGTAGGCTTCATATTTTTGGGCAAAAATATAATTCCTTACTGTTAAATCTTGAAAGCACGGATGACTTGGAATACACTTTTCATTTTCATATTTTAAGTTGTAAGAGAGGTAAAATTAAACTGGGTACACCAAAGCACTCGTTGGGACGGCCAGTGGGCGGGCCCTGGGGAATGTGATAGTCAGGCCCTGGGCAACCCATGCCTAAAGCTGTGTAAGGGGCCCCAAAATTGCTGATGGCTGCTCTGATGATGATAAGAGGTATTGAAAAACAAACTTAGACCTACTTATTATAACGTGATACATCCCATTCAAAACTCATTCCCGCTGTGTTTATTGTAAATTTTCAAAACGCGTTTTATTGGCATAAATTATAGACGCTATCACTTACACTGATGGCCCTGTCTACCTGCCCAATCACTTGTATTTTCAAAGATCTAGTATCAACAATGTGTAAATCATTAACATATTTGGTAAAGAGTGTTCCTTTATTGTTTTTTATATCATACGGGTGATCTTTTGATCTATCGCAAACCATTCTGGTTGTGTGACCTATACAGTATATTGTCCATAGCAAATATCTCAGGTAAGTACATATACAGCAAGTCTAGAATTACAATTTTCTAGTTGTTTGATTATGTATATTTTATCTGTAAATGGAAATTGAATCCCATAAGGATGTTCAACACAACCCGAGCACTTTGTTCCTCCACAATTATTTTGTAAATAGCCAGAAACGAATGAAACAAAACGAAGCTAGCTGGGTGACAGCACATTACCAAGTATAGGTGCTTTCTTAGCAACACATTTTACACCTTCTCTTCATATCTCTCTATAATTAGAATTATTCTATAAAATAGATATATATCAATGTACTGTTTTTTTTTAAATTCAGAACTGTACCTTTTCGGAAAAAAAAAATCACTTGATGTTGATGATCACAGCTCTCATCTCTATTTATAACTTATGACAGTTCACGATACTTCTGAACAAAAAAGAAAAATGAGGGAAACATTATCAAATGACTTAGATCATGTAGAAAGCATGACTTCAAAACTGTTAACGAGAGACAAACAGGAACAAAAGTACAAGAAATTCAAATAAAATGCAAAAATAAATTAGAAGAGGAAAAGTTAACCACTTGCCACCTTCCTATAGTAGATCACGGCACTCAGTACCCAGCCACTATGAGCCACTGGTGGTATCATGTGATCTCTATAATCAATCATAGGGCTCACATGCTATTATGTAAACAAACTGTCAGGAATGGATATCCATTCATGACAACTTGCTTATTGTTGACATGCTGGATTAGCGCACAGCTATCACATAGTACCTGACAACCTGTACTATGTGATTAGCTATAGCCAATCACAACATGTCAACAATAAGCAAACTGTCATGAATGGAAAGTCATTCATGACAGCTAAACGTTTGCTCATAGCAGTGATCATTACTGTTATAAGCAATAATAGTATAAACAAAAATCCCTGATCACCGCCACACCAGCCATATGATGGTTCTGTACTGCACTGGTGACAGTATGTAAAAAAAACAAAAACACATTTTATTTAATTTCTTAATTTTTAAAATAATTGTTACAAAAAATTACAATGTCAAGAAACGTGCCATGCCTCTTATTAAACACCTTGGACTGTCTACTTTCCAAAAAGGGGTCATTTGGGGGGTACTTGTACTGTTCTGGTATTTTAGGGCCTCGAGATGTGAGATAAGTTGTCAGTACATCATGAATTATCAATTTTCAAATATATATACCATAGTTTGTAGAGTCTATAACTTTCACACAGACTAAATAATACACAGTGGTCATAGAAAAGAATCACCCACTTTTAAAATAATCACATTTTGTTGCTTTGCAGCCTGAAATGAAGACAGACACAGTTTTTGTTTTATCCAGCTGTATTTACTCGGTGCAAACTTATAATATCCAAGTGAAAGAAATAACACAAACATGTCAGAAAAAAATGTAAAAAATTCAAAATCACTGAGTTGGAAAAAGGATCACCTCCCTCCTAAATATGGCTTGTAAACTCAATCAGGTGTAGCTAATCACCTTCTCAATGGCACACAAATCCATCTGGCTTTCAGCTGTGATCAGCTGTGGTAATTTTGATTAGCTCAGCATGAAAAGAGCTTTCCTGGAGCATTTCAGTGCCTGGTAGTGCAACTGAAGAAAATAATCAAGTATGGGTGGCAAGGTACTGTCAAAAGATCTCCAGGATAAAGTTGTGGACAGGCACAAGTCAGGAGATGGATAAAAAAAAACTTCAGAGGCTTTTTCAATGCTGAGAAGCACAGTGAAGTCTATTATTAAGAAGTGGAAGGTATTTGGTACAACACAGACCCTCCCTGGATCAGGACGTCGCTCCAAACTGGATGGAAGAGCCAGGAGGAAACTGGTCAGAGAGGCTACCAAGGGGCCTACAGCAACTTTGAAGCAGCTGCAGGATGTGATGACAAAGATTGGTCATTGTGTGCATGTGACAAATTCTCCACAAATGTGGCTTATGTGGGAGGGTTGCAAGAAAAAAGCCACTCCTCAAAAAAGGCCACATGCAGTCAGATGAGACCGCAACTGATTTATTTGGCCTCAACACTAAACAATCTGTCCTGCGGAAATCCAGTACAGCTCACCATCCAAATAACACCATTCCTACAGTAAAGCATGAGGGTGGTAATATCCTGTTATGGGGGTTTCTCTGCAGCAGGGACAGAAGCCCTTGCCAAGATAGAAGGAAAAAATGAGCTGCCCTCTGCCAGAAAATTGTCAATGGGAAGAAGGTTTACCTTCCAACACAAAAATGACCCAAAGCACACAGCAAAAATTAGCACACAGTGGTTGAAAGAGAAAAAGGTGAATGTCCTTGCATGGCCTAGTCAGAGCCCAGACTTAAACCCCACTGAAAATCTGTGGTATGACTTGAAGACTGCAGTTCACCAACCGTCACCATCAAATCTAACTGAACTTGAGCAGTTCTGTAAAGAGGAGTGGGTAAATATTGCAAAGTCTAGATGTGCAAACTTAGTAGAGACATATCCCAGCAGACTAAAGGCTGGAATTAAATCAAAAGGTGGTTCAACAAAATACTGACACAAGGGGGGATCCTTTTCCAACTCAGTTTTTCTGTTTTTGATTTTTTTTTTTCTGACATGTTGGTGTTATATCTGCCACTTGGATGTTATAAGTTACAGTAAAGACAGTTGGATAAAATGAAGGCTGCAAAAAATGATTATTTTAAAGGGGGGGGGGGGTGATTATTTTCTATACTCACTGTACACTGATTTGGGTTATTTTTACCAAAGAAATGTAGCAGAATACATTGGGGCCTACATTTAGTAAGAAACATTATTTATTTGCAAAATTTTATAACAGAAACTAATAAAACATTATTTTCTGAAATAATAAAAAATAATTTTTATAGAGCAAAAAATAAAAAACCCAGTGGTGATTAAATACAACCAAAAGAAAGTTCTTTTGCGTGAAAACAATTATATAAATTTTGGCACAGTGTTGCATGACTGAGCAATTGCCAATTAAAGTAGCATATTGCTGAATAGCGAAAAAAATGCCCATGAAGGGGGTAAAACCTCCTGCAGGTCAAGTGGTTAAACATAGAACATAATCATTCCAAATAGTACAATACACCTAATAATTTGTGTAATAATATTTTACATTAAACTTTTACTATGCTAACTGAAGCTTTCATCATATGGTTTAAATTATGCAATAGTTTGCCATTTTGCTTTGTTTGAAACACAAATAAATATGGATAATTTTGCAAGAAAATTGGTGTTCTTAAACATTATCGGTGTCTGGAGGAAAGCAAGGCAGAGGTTGTCTCTGAAAGAGGCATTTACCATGGAGATTCACATTCACATGAGATGGATAAAAGAGGTATTTCAATGTATGTTGACACTTTGAATGCACGGGATTTAATAGCACTGAGAGATTTAGAGACATTGCAGACAGGAATTTTGACCACAGATGTGGAAACCCTCGAAACACAGGATATAAGAGTGTTAAAAGATCTAGAAATGTTATGAACAGAAGCTTCCATTACAGATGTACCGCTAGACTCTAGTTCCTGAAGTTTAGAATTCAAATAGGAAAAATGTCCAGTGTCCAGTGGAGAGAGGAAAGGCTTTAGATGTGTTTCATAAGCATTTGGATAGAAATATTTAGTATTTGACAAGGAATATAGAAAGGGACTTTTCCCTAAGAAGTGAAAATTTAGTGTAAAACGTGACCCAAGTAGAGCCAAGGTTGACTCTGATGGGGACAGGTGATGTATGTAAGGGCACTCTGATGGGGACAGTTGATGTAAGGGGGGACTCTGATGGGGACACCCTATTTAGGAGGACATTCTGATGGGGACAGTTGATCTAAGGGGGCACTCTGATGAGAACACCTAATGTAAGGAGGGACTGTTATAGGAACTTTGATGTAAGGAGGAACTCTGAGAAGAAGTAGGTCCAATCATGGCATTGGAAACAAATAAGTACAGGCAGTCCCCGAGTTACAAACATCTGACTTACAGTACATATGACTCATACTTAAGAACAAAGACAGTGTGACATCACACTGGCTACAGAGACCGCAGGGCGGCCATCTTGCTGCTCACCGCATGCTGCCACCTACTGTCCAGCAGACCTGTCAGCAATCCTACATCACTACATGGCCAGGTAACCAAGCCTGGATCTAGGGGGGTGCTGGGGTGGGGCTATGCCCCACCAGATTTTACTTGTGCACCCCCACACCTCTGAAGTGAATTCACAAATCCATGAGAGACCTGATGGCACAGTTGATGTAAGAGGCACTCTGATGGGGACAGTTGATGTAAAGGGGGCACTCTGATGGGGACAGTTGATGTAAAGGGGGCACTCTGATGGGGACAGTTGATGTAAAGGGTGCACTCTGATGGGAACAGTTGATGTAAGGGGACACTCTTATGAGGGACAGTTGATGTAAGGGGGACTCTGATGGGAACAGTTGATGTAAGGGGACACTCTGATTTGGACAGTTGATGTAAGGGGGCACTCCGATGGGGACAGTTGATGTAAGGGGACACTCTTATGAGGGACAGTTGATGTAACGGGACACTCTTATGGGGACAGTTGATGTAAGGGGACACTCTTATGAGGGACAGTTGATGTAACGGGACACTCTTATGGGGACAGTTGATGTAAGGGGGCACTCTGACGAGGACAGTTGATATAAAGGGGGCACTCTGATGGAGATAGTTGATGTAAAGGGGCGCTCTGATTTGGACAGTTGATGTAAGGGGGCACTCTGATGGGTTCAGTTGATGTAAGTGGACGCTCGTATGGGGACAGTTGATGTAAGGGGGACTCTGATGGGGACAGTTGATGTAAAGGGTGCACTCTGATTTGGACAGTTGATGTAAGGGGGCACTCCGATGGGGACAGTTGATGTAAGGGGACACTCTTATGAGGGACAGTTGATGTAACGGGACACTCTTATGGGGACAGTTGATGTAAGGGGGCACTCTGACGAGGACAGTTGATATAAAGGGGGCACTCTGATGGAGATAGTTGATGTAAAGGGGGCGCTCTGATTTGGACAGTTGATGTAAGGGGGCACTCTGATGGGTTCAGTTGATGTAAGTGGACGCTCGTATGGGGACAGTTGATGTAAGGTGGCACTCTGATGGGGACAGTTGATGTAAAGGAGCACTCTGATGAGAACATCTAATGTAAGGAGGGACTGTTATAGGAACTTTGATGTAAAGAGGAACTCTGAGAAGAACTCCTGATATAAGGGAGCACAGGTTCTGTTTAATCACCCTAAACTAATGACAGCATTCCCAGTTCACTCCTGCACAACCTCTGCACTACCTGTTACTTCCAGGTTATGACTCCATGGTACAAAAGTGTGCCGAGTGAACAGGGAATACTGCTTCCATGCATACCTGTCACACTACCAGCATTATGCCCCCTGACTTTTTTTTTTACTGCAGCCCCAGATCAGACAGGCTAGATCCAGCCCTGCAGGTAACCGTTCTCTATGCTATCCAAAACTTAAAAATAATTTTTGACTGGAGTTACACTTAAAAATGTACCTGTTCCAACTTACATACAAATTCAACTTAAGAACAAACCTACAGAACCTATCTTGTTTGTAAACTGGGGACTGCCTGTATTAAGATGAGACCATGCGGAAAACTGGAACACTCAGAATCTGGTGCAGCTGTGCATGGTAGCCATTCAAGTTCTAATTTCAGCTTGTTCAATTAAGTTTTGACAGTGAAACCTGGAAGCTGGTTGGTTTCTATGCACAGCTGCACCAGATTCTGCTTGCTCCACTTTTAGTAAATAACCCCCACGAGACTACTGAATGAAGACAGAACTTATCTGCGTATTTGTTCTGATATGATATGCATTATATAAAAGGTAATTCAAAAATGTTATCTCTTTAGGAAAACTCATTAGGTGTTTTTAATAAATACATTATGGAAAATATTGTTCCAAAGCATCCAGCCATCCCGAACTTACATCGTTTTTCTAAAGTTCATACGAATTTAACCGGCTATCAAACTGAGGCATATAGAGGGCCATTAAGTGGAGGATTGGATCACTGGTTAGACAGAATATTTCAACCTCTGATACAAAGACTTCCCACCTATCTTAGAAAAATAAAGTGTAGCACCCTCCTAGGAAAGCTAGGGGGACCTAGTTAATTATTTTTTAGTTAGGGGCTGAAAAGCAGCCTGGTGTAACAGCCAGAGGGGTCAAATTTGTGTCAGAGCTGAGGTCAGTTCCCTGAGGCCTTCCACTGATCTAGAGACTTGGATAGGTCTCTGAGGTTCAGTGGACGGGGGTTCCTGGCTGGTCCCCAGGCAGGAGGCTTGGTATGGGGTCAGGACAGCCCTTAAGAGTGACTGAACCTGCTCAGTAGCAAGGAGAGATTGGGAGGAAGATGGCGTAAGAAGCCTGAGACGCAAGAGCCTGGGAGCGGGCCCAGTTGGGAAGAGGCCCACCTCTAGGCAGTGGCGCTGGAAAGGGAGGAAAGCTCAGGACCTCTCCAGCCCCCAGAGAAAGGACCACCTGTTTAGCAGGGAAGGAGTGACCCAGCAGGAGGTCTGAAAGAAGCCACTGACCCACCAGCTCATAGACAGAAGAATAGTGAGAGTGAGTAGCCCTATACTCTCTGCACCAGTTAAGGGGAAAGAAGCACTCTGGTGGGAAACTGGATTAGCTCCTTGCCTGGGACTATCCACCTTAAAGTGGCAGGCACTGGATCCCCTGCCCAAAAAGATAATTATGCAGTGTAAAGACTTGTACATAGTTCCAGAAAATTGTCCTCAGTTGCAGTTCCCTTGGACATCCTGTACACCCCTTACCCCATCCAAGTTCTAATCCCCCTTAATAAAATCACAAAACCAAGTTCAAGGACTGGTTACTGTCTCCTAGATGGAAGTCTGTGAGGAATGCGTGTTGCCTGGCTGTGCAGGACTATAGAGGGACCCAAATCTTTAGCAGCTCCTAAGGGGGTAGTGCTACATGTGGGGGATTGTAAATCCATGATCTCTTATAGTAACCTGAATGGATTTTGCTCCTAGCATCCGGCAACCAATGAGCCAGGAAGTTGTCCTCAGTTTAATAATTCCATGGGCATCCCATGTATCTCTCATCCCCATCAAAGTTCATATCTCTTAATAAATCAAAAAAAACAAGTTCAAAGACTGTTTACTGTCTCTGGAGTGCAAGACTGGAAGGAAATGTGTGTTGTTTGACTGTAGGGGACCCAAAAACTTCAGCAACTCTTAAGGGGGTAGTGCTACAGAAATATAATATGCAAAAGCTTGGACAATTAGAAAGGCATGAAGATATGGAATGGGTTACTTGTGGCATGTATAACCTAACTCAGGGGCGGACTGACCATTTGGAAACTCGGGCACTGCCCGAGGGCCCGGGATCAGTAGGGGGCCCCATGAGATGCCCCTGGTACTTTTTTCATAGGCTTTTTTGAGTTTGGGCAAGGACACAGGGGCTCCATAATCCCCTATTGCCCAGGGGCCCCAGGAGTTGTCAGTCCGCCCCTGACCTAACTCCTTTTACCCTTTACTCCTTGATCCCACATGAATTCGGCCTGGAAGCACTGAAGTCCCCTTTAGATTACTATAGTGAACACAGCCAAGATTTGTAGAACGATATTTGGGAGTGTGCAGCATTGATTATACATACTTCAAGATTGGCATCATTGAAAGTAATATTTTCATTAAACACACAAATACCAGAAAAATTAAATTTTGATCGAGATATACCCAATTAGTGCTTCTCATCGTAAATATTTTGTGATTCATTTATTTATTCATGAATCATGACATTTGAAATCCGATATTGAAGGTTTTAGTTGAAGTTTAGAATAAGTTTCCGTATTTTTTTAATATCTAAAAAATCATATGTAACAAATGTATCCATATCTTTTCTAGTGTATTTAAAAATGTGTGAATACATTTCAATAATTGTATAGCCAGGGGGAATATATATATATATATATCCTCGCCGACTCTTCTCCACCTTCAGCTCTCTACTCTTGCCACCCCGACCTCCACCCAGCACCTCACTCACTGCCCTTGAGATTGCCAATCACTTCAAAAACAAGATTGACACAATTCGCAAGGACATCGCCGCAACTCACACGCCCTCTCAACCCGTCCTCTCTCACACAGCTACCCCCTCATTCCCCCTCTCCCTCGACATAACCCGCAGGGATTTCGTCGCTGCTCAAACTCCCTCCAACCCCGTTCCCCCTCACTCAGCTACCCCCTCATCACCCCTCTCCCACGGCCCCACCACTGCTCTGACCTCCACTTCCACCCCACCCTACATTCCTCATACTGAAGCCCCCCCAACACTCCACACCTTTGACCTTACTACCATCAAGGAAGTCTCCAAGATCCTCTCTGATGCCCGCCTCACCACCTGCCCCCTCGACCCTATCCCCTCACAACTCCTACAACCTCCCTCCCCCTCCATCCTACGCTCCCTCACCCACATCTTTAATCTCTCCCTCTCCTCCAGCACTTTCCCCTCCCCTCTGAAACATGCACACATCACCCCCATACTTAAAAAGCCCTCCCTGGACCCCAATGACCCGAACAACCTCAGACCCATCTCCCTGCTCCCATTTACATCTAAACTCCTCGAGCGCCTAGTCTACACCCGCCTAAGCTCTCACCTCAACAACAACAACCTCCTCGATCCCCTACAGTCCGGCTTCCATCCCCTACACTCCACTGAAACTGCCTTACTCAAACTCTCCAACGACCTGCTAACCGCCAAAGCTAATGGCCACTATTCAGTGCTCCTACTCCTTGACCTCTCTGCGGCCTTCGACACAGTCGACCACCCCCTCCTCCTCAAAAAACTACACTCCCTCGGCCTCAGAGATTCTGCTCTCTCCTGGCTCTCATCCTACCTGTCACAACGCTCTTTCAGCGTTACCGATAATGCTACCACCTCCCCCTCACTCCCCCTCTCTGTTGGGGTCCCTCAAGGCTCTGTCCTCGGGCCCCTTCTCTTCTCCATCTACACCTCCTCCCTTGGCCAACTCATACACTCTCACGGCTTCAACTACCACCTCTATGCCGACGACACACAAATCTATCTCTCAACCCCCCACCTCACCCTCTCGGTCTCTGCCCGAATCACACACCTACTGAGCGACATATCAGACTGGATGTCGCTCCACTTCCTTAAACTGAACCTCTCCAAAACCGAGTTTCTTGTCTTCCCCCCAGCCCGGACCCCACCCCCCATTGACTTCTCCGTCACATCCAACAACGCCACCATCAAACCCGCCCCGCAGGCCAGAGTACTTGGTGTCATTCTGGACTCCAACCTATCCTTCCAGCCCCAAGTCCAATCTTTAACAAACTCGTGCAGACTCCACCTCCGCAACATCGCCAAAATCCGCACGTTCCTAACCCCAGAAACCACTAAACAGCTCATCCACTCCCTCATCATATCATGACTCGACTACTGCAACTCCCTCCTTACGGGCCTGCCTCGCCGCTGGCTATCCCCACTTCAGTCGATCCTGAATACGGCTGCCAGACTCATTCACCTTTCCAACCGCTCCATTTCTGCCACCCCCCTCTGCCAATCCCTCCACTGGCTTTTGATTGCGCAACTAATCAAATTCAAAATCCTAACACTGACGTACAAAGCCGTCCACCATACTGCCCCGAACTACATCACTGACCTAATATCCAAGTACCACCCAACACGCACACTCCGCTCCTCACAAGACCTCCTTCTCTCTAGTTCCCTGGTCTCCTCCTCCCATGCCCGCCTCCAGGACTTCTCCAGGGTGTCACCCATCCTCTGGAACTCCCTGCCCCAACCCATCAGATTATCACCTACTCTCCTCTCCTTTAGGCGCACCCTGAAAACCCATCTCTTCAGGGAAGCCTACCCCACCCCCTGCTAACTTGCCGACCTCCTCCACTCTTCCTACCACCCCATCCCTCACAGCTATCTCCTCCTGTGCCGCCATCCCCTCCCTCCTAGATTGTAAGCTCGAAAGAGCAGGGCCCTCGATCCCCTCATGTTTTGCATTGTATTGGTATTGTTCTGTCACATGTTCTGTCCCCCTTTGTAATGTACAGCGCTGAGCGAACCATTGGCACTTTATAAATACTGTATAATAATAATAAAATATTAATAATATATATACAGTATATACATATAAAATAGATATGCAGCACTAAACAACACAATAAACGAGTAGTATTCTTAATTCATAAATACTGAACATTCAGATATATACAAAATGCAAAGCACTGATAATAGTGCAAAATTAGTGCAGTGATAACCACGTTTATAACGTTGCTAATATAAATGTTTGAATTGGATAACGGAGTGATGGTGGTAGTGAGTCTAATCATATGAAGATAAAATTCATCAAAAATAGTGCTCAGTGTTCCGTGACTTCAATTGCTGTTGTAAAAATCTGGTACAATAATGGACTTACCAGAAGTACATATGATGAAAGCATTATATGTAAAACATATATGTAGTATTATCAGGGTCTGGTCTATGGTTGTGGTGTCATCTGGCTCTATGGTAGACTCTCAGAGATGGAACGACTCACACTCGGGGGTCACCTCAGGCTCACAAATTCGTCCCAACCAGCTCATAAACCCTGGTAGCACCTTCCCAAATGGCCCCACTTTATGAGGCTTGCAAGAAACGGGCCGAGGGGCAAAATGGTACTGATAGTGTAGTATGTTTATTGTAATAGAAAAAATTGAACCAAAACTGAAACAATATAATGAACTCACAAGTAGTAACACAAATGGCCGCCAGGCCTTCCTCATAGGCTGTGTGCGGCTAGGGCGTCAATCTGGTGGATTCCCAGTATAAACATATATTTACACGTGTGTGCATGCATCTGTCTGTGCAGAATAAGGGCAGGGAAGGTGGTTTAGGAGCTATTAAGTTCCTCTTTAAAGACTCCACTTTAGTGATAAAAGGTTGAGATTTAGTTCTGGTTCACACTGATGCAATTTCAGATGTTACATGGGTCACACTGAATCGCTAGACAATGGAAATAGCATTGCTTCCAATGGTGCCTGCTCAAATCAATGCAGCACCGCTGCGAAATGACTTTGGGGAAGGGTCCTCTGCTACCTTGGTGAAAATGCAGTGACATTTTATGGTCCATAGACTTCAACGGAAATGCATCAAAATTGCATCTACATGCCTTTGTTATGCATTTTTTGTGTGCGATTTGAGCTGGTTGTTAAGAGTTGGCACCCATCAGCATCCTAACAACCAGAGACCAATGCCTGCTGTCAGCAGCAGGGAAGATGCCTGCTGGCATCATAATAAAAATGAGTCATCTCTGCTGTCAGCGGGTCTGGTATGAATTTTAAGGGGGTACCCATGCTAAAAAAAAAAAAAAGTGTGGGGTGCCGGCTTCTCACTCTCTCAATGACTAATTTGAATCCTTATGCAGCTAGCATTAGTGAATAGATAGGAAAGGATATCATATTTACTTTTTGTAAACTTTATTTCACATTTCTTCAGTTACTTTCTTTTTTCTTGCCTAGGCAAATAATCTCATACATCCCAGAAGGTTTCAGGAGAGGAGAAGGGGCTTTCTCAGCTAAGCACACTCTCCTGCCTGCGTGCCTGAGCTAAGGGCAGATGGATTTCAGGAAGTACATGACTCATCTGCCCTTTCTCAAGATGGCCATGGCCAGAAATGCTAGGAGGCAGGACTTTTTTCTCAGACTATAGGTGTAGGAACTCCTCCCTTCTGAGTCACCTTTTTTCTCCTCCCCCTACCTGCCTCTGAGTACCATCCCTTTTAGAGACTACAATGCCAAGTATGATTTTGTGGTGCAATTAATAATTCATTATTATTATTTATTATTATTTATTATTATTATTAATTAATATTACAAAGTAATTTGTATGCAATTTGATGAAGATACCAAGAAAAGCAGTACAATAGATCCCCTGCAGCCAGCAACAATACATCCCCCAGCGACAATACATCCCCCCACAGCAACAGACACCACCCCCCGCAACAAAATACCACCCAGCAACAATAGATCCACCCCAGCAACAACTGACGCCCAGCAGCAATAACAGATCTCCCAGCAGCCAGAGTCAATAGACCCTTCAGTAGCCAGCATTAATAGATTTCTCCCTCAACAGTGGATCCATTCCAGCAACAATTGATCCCCTCCAGCAACAATTGACTCTCTCCAGCAACATTTGACCCCCCCCCCAGAAACAATAGATTCCCCCACCAGCATCAATTGACTGTTTCATCAACATTTGACCCCCCCAGCAGCAATAGATCCCACATCATCAGTAACAACAGATCTCCCCAGAAACAATGGACACCCATGCAAAAATAGATTCCCTCCAGCAGCCAGCAGCATTAATAGACCCTAAAACACACCTCAGCACTCCTTACCATTACATACATTCAGTGCTGGAGGTGTGTTGGAGGGTCTGTTGACGCTGCTGGCTGCTGCAAACGCGCCCCCCACATTCCTGCTGAAAAAAAAGCCCTGCTAGGAGGTGTTTTTCTGAGTGATTTCTGAGTAAAATAAAGCATGGAGACATGGATGGATGAGAGAGTTTGCTTTGAATATTAAAAAGGAATTAAATATCGCTTTTGGTTTGTGGTGCTCAAATACAGTGTAGTTCCACTTTAACAACCCATGACTCACCTCTGCTGCTAAGGGGTGAATCATAGTAAAACATGCATTAAAAAACATGAAAAACGCACCAAGTCGCACTGCAGCTTCAGTACAAAATCGCATTTAAAACCAGATCAAACTCAGTGTGATTCTAGCCGTAAGAAAAGCTACCATATTGTATTGTAATACATCAGGAATTTCTTGATGCAAACTTATAAAATTATCGAATTCATTTTTAACCCCTGGTTCACATAAACACGTTCCTGCGGTCCGCGTTTTTCGAGAGCACGAGAGTCCATTCATCTGTATATGGGATGCCCAATAGAACTGAAACAACTTTGAGGACAAACTATCTGTGTACAAAAAGTAGAAAAATTTTATCCTGGACCAGGGGCGGACTGACAACTCACGGGGCCCCTGGGCAATAGGGGATCATGGGGCCCCTGTGTCCTTGCCCAAACTCAAAAAAGCCTATGATAAAGGTACCAGGGGCATTTCATGGGGCCCCCTACTGACCCTAGGCCCTCCGGCAGTGCCCGAGTTTCCAAATGGTCAGTACGCCCCTGTCCTGGACTTAGAAGTCCCATTGGAGTGGCTCTTGTCTCTTAATGGATCAACACACAGTCCTTACTAGGAGCACTCCCTTTAAATGAACCTTCTTCAGACCCCAGATGAAAATGTTCTCATCCACCGGGCAGTCATGAAGAGTATCCCAGGGCAAGGGATTCTGAGACACATAAGCATGCTGTACCAGGGATAGCTAGTTCGATATGACACCTGACTGCCCTCTCCCTTGTAGGCATAGGGGGTGTACAGCTACTCACACTGTCCTGATTCTGTAGCTTTAAAAGATGAAGCTGCTTTCAGGCCATACGCTGGAATGGCTTTTTCCCTTGCTAACAGGTTGTCCTTCTTTGTAGACTGTAGAACAGAGGAGGTCCCTCTTTCCAGCTCCCAGCCTGTAGGTAGACCCCCCTCCTCCATGGCCCCCTCCCAGGCTCCACCCACCCAGCACTTCCTCACTCCATCTTCCACCTGACTCCCCTGCTGGCCAGGCTCTCTCATATTTATGGGCTGATCTCCCGCACTGCCAGGCCTCCTGCCTGGGATTGGCCAGACTCTCATAATATGGGGAGGAGGTACCAGAGGACTGACCTACAGAGCCCTCAAGCCCTAACCTGAAATAACCTTACTGACTCACTCTCAGACTGACTCATGCCCAGGCTTCTAGCAAGCCTCTAGCTAAACACAAAAAAAACTAACGACACTAGAGGTCCCATACAATGCACTCCAGTAGGCAGAGCATAACATATGCCCTCTAGTATGAATGGGACCTCAATGTCCATAGAAGGTCTGCATTAAGAAAATGAAACAAGAGCCAGCTTGTTGCCTGTCTCTACTCCTACCCGAAATTTTTTCACCACAGCTTTCCACCAAACCAGGCAAGATTGTCACTTTCTATAAGCGAACGTTATTGCGCTTGTAACATATTTATAACTTTCTGCAGCCAACTCACAACTGACATCTCAATCTTTGTTGCATTGTGGAACTCCAGTGATTTATCACCGAAAACATCTGAGACAGAAGCATGTTCAGCTCCTCCGACAAGGTAATGATCTATTGATTTACACATTAAGGGATTCAACAAGGCTCAGGATGAGAGTATATTCAGTGGAATAGGATTGTCTGAATCAAAGGTCACGATCCGGATGTTGAGAGACACAAGAGCAGAAAATGATGTGGAAATAGAACTGCCGCAGGACGCAGTGTCTGTCATCAGGAATGGCAGAGAGTGATTCCCTTAAGGCCCTCAACATTAAAGTATATAAAAATATAATAACCCATAAAATATTAGCCACAGCCATGAAAAACAATTAAAAAACACAGCCAAGTGAAAATCGTAAGAGCGAAAACAAGATCAGGGCAGCTACAAGAAAGTTAAGCTACAGGAGGTAAGAAATGTATTGGCAAATGGTTAAAATACATAAACAGATAAAATAAAATAAATAAGAATAATAATGAACACAATGAAATATACAGTTAAATCCATACAGTATATGGAAGATGTTTACCTGCCAAAGGATTTGTATCTCAATCCTGTTCTGAGATTTATGTCATGTGACAGGACAGTGAAAATAGAAGCAGTAGACTGATGACTCTGTTACTCTGCTTTCTCCTCCTATCAGCATGGTTCTTGTACTTCACCACACCCAATTGGCACTTTGTGCTGCTTCTCCCTCCCCTGCCAGGTAGCTTAGCCAGGTGGGTTACCTGACTTTTTACTACCATAGTTAGGCAATACAGCCACGTCATCTTCTTATCCCCAGCCAGTGATTGGGCAGCAGACGAATTGACTAATCCCTTTGGATAAGGGAATTAAATTGATATTGAAGTCATATTTCTTTTTAACTTCCTCGGAGGTCTGATTATTTCCGATTTTTTGTGCTGAAAGCAGTACCATTTTTTTGCATGGAAATATGTAGTTTTTTTATTGTAGGCTGTAATTTTTAGGAATAACTCACTGAAATCTGTACGAACAAGAGTCTAGTAAACATCCCGGGTAGGATAAAATTTGAAACACTAAATCATAAATTATAATTTAATAAATAATCTTAAAAAATAGTAATATAATAATAACAAATTTAATTCAATAATATAATCAAACCAAAAACACTGAAATTTGAAATACAGAGGCAAATTCGCACATCGCTGAGCAAAGTCGCAAAATCGTTTTCAGTGTCTGATGACGAATTTCCCCACAAATCATTATCACTCAATTCTGCAAGTGGTTCTGATTTACTATCGCTGTTCTCTAGCTGGTCTAAAACCACTTTTGACGTAAAGGGACTCTTTTTGTTCTTTGTTTTACTGCTGTCATTGGGCTTCCCCAGCCTTGAGTTAGAGCTGCACAACCTTTGATCTGCCACTGGATGAACTTTCATATACTGTATGGTTCACCCGCTGATTTCTGATCTGGGTATCTGAGCACAGGAGGTTTTGTTTCTGTTTCCACTGGTAGTGCTACACTTACATTGGGGATCAGTAGGAAGAATGCTCCTTACATTAAAGGAGAACAATGCCCCCTTACAAATAGTTAAAAAGATCATTGGTGTTAGTGGTTACTTATTTTGTGAAAGGAAGAAACCTCTAGCATTCTCCAAAGGAATCCTAGGGTGTCACAGAACCCTAGTTTGAGAATGGCTGATCTAGGCTATTGTGGAATATATTTAAATGAAAGTTTGTTAAATTAAAGTTTGTTTGTGCCAAGAGTTCTCCAAAGGTATCCTAGGGTGTCACAGAACCCTATTTGACAATGGCTGCTCTAGGCTATTGTGGAATATATTTAAATGAAAGTTTGTTAAATTAAAGTTGGTTTGTGTGCAAGAGTTCTCCAAAGGAATCCTAGGGTGTCACAGAACCCTAGTTGAGAATGACTGATCTAGGCTATTGCGGAATATATTTAAATGAAAGTTTGTTAAATTAAAGTGTGTTTGTGCCAAGAGTTCTCCAAAGGAATCCTAGGGTGTCACAGAACCCTATTTGACAATGGCTGCTCTAGGCTATTGTGGAATATATTTAAATGAAAGTTTGTTAAATTAAAGTTTGTTTGTGCCAAGAGTTCTCCAAAGGAATCTTAGGGTGTCACAGAACCCTATTTGACAATGGCTGATCTAGGCTATTGTGGAATATATTTAAATGAAAGTTTGGCAAATTAAAGTTTGTGCCAAGAGTTCTCCAAAGGAATCTTAGGGTGTCACAGAACCCTATTTGACAATGGCTGCTGTAGGCTATTGTAGAATATATTTAAATGAAAGTTTGTCAAATTAAAGTTTGTTTGTGCCAAGAGTTCTCCAAAGGAATCCTAGGGTGTCACAGAACCCTATTTGACAATGGCTGCTCTAGGCTATTGTGGAATATATTTAAACGAAAGTTTGTTTGTACCAAGAGTTCAGCTTTAAATTCGATAAAAAAACATATACAACTCAAAACAGACAAGGTCCACCAGTCAAAGATATTTTCTGTCTGAAATGCCTCTTGAAGTTATAGTAAAATTGTAGGTAATTTATAGCACACAAGCGAAACGTGTTTGTAAAAAGTAGTCTCTATTTATAAGCTAATAGCCAATTTACCTTCTCTCCAGGACGGAACACCGTACAGTGGAGAGGACGCTGTTTGATGTGGGGGTTTCTTTGTGAAGTGCTGATGCTCTCATGTAGTCCCTTTGAAATATGCATTTGTTAGATGTTTGTACACAATAAGTCACTATGGAAACAGGCAGCTTATTTTTAGATTGAAGTTGAAATTATTTTTTTTTTTATAGATACTTTTACAATCAAAGCCTGAAGTTCACTTTTAAGGACGTTGGCCTTTTCTAAAAGAAGATGATTTAAAGTGGTTATCGAAATTTGAATTGTTCTCCAGAAGTGAGTTTTTACTCCCACAAGTTTCCTATCTCAATCTGGAAAACATGTTGAATGGTTAAAGGGGCTTTCCATTATCTTTATGTGTATAACACCCAGACAATATCCAACAATAGAGAAAAAAGTTAAAATATAAAGGTTGACTAGCCCAACTTCTGGTCCAGAACTTCTAATCCAGAATGCCCTATGGAGAAGCATTCCCCAGGAAAGAAGGAAAGCATTTACATTGACATTTGATGTAGGATGGGAGCAGCATCCAGAACTTCTAGTCCAGAATGCCCTACGAAGCGGCATTTCCCAGGAAAGAAGGAAAGCAATTCCATTGACAGTTGATGTAGGATGGGAGCAGCATCCAGAACTTCTAGTCCAGAAAGCCCTACGGAGAGACATTTCCTAGGAAAGAAGGAAAGCATTTACATTGACAGTTGATGTAGGATGGGAGCAGCATCCAGAACTTCTAGTCCAGAATGCCCTACGAAGCGGCATTTCCCAGGAAAGAAGGAAAGCAATTCCATTGACAGTTGATGTAGGATGGGAGCAGCATCCAGAACTTCTAGTCCAGAAAGCCCTACGGAGAGGCATTTCCTAGGAAAGAAGGAAAGCATTTACATTGACAGTTGATGTAGGATGGGAGCAGCATCCAGAACTTCTAGTCCAGAATGCCCAACAGAGAGGCATTTTCCAGGAAAGGAGAAAAGCATTTACATTGACATTTGATGTAGGATGAAAGCAGCATCCAGAACTTCTAGTATAGAAATCCCTAAGGAGAGGCATTTTCTAGGAAAGAAGGAAAGCATTTCCATTGACATTTGATGTAGGATGGGAGCAGCATCCAGAACTTCTAGTCCAGAATGCCTTACGGAGGGCATTTCCCAGGAAAGAAGGAAAAGCATTTACATTGACATTTGATGTAGGATGGGAGCAGCATCCAGAACTTCTAGTCCAGAATGCCCTACGGAGAGGTATTTCCAAGGAAAGAAGGAAAGCATTTACATTGACAGTTGATGTAGGATGGGAGCAGCATCCATTTTTCCTAACCAACAATGTAACAGCAACATTTAACCTGACCAGCAATGTAAGGTGGAAATTATATTGACCATGAAAATGTAAGGCCTCATTCACATCTGAACGTAGCAGTTTTGTGCTTTTTTCACATGTTTTGTCACGCGTTTTTATGCGCATTTGCAAATGTTTGTGTGCAATTTGTTCAGGCGTTTTATAGGCTTTTTGAGTTCAGGCGATTTTGTATTAGCCAACAGAGAAAAATGTCATCTGTGACATCAATTGTCGCCATGTTTTGCCATGCCAGAAAAATATTCTTGGTCATGCGACAAAGCACGTACAAGTGCATTAAACCACGCAATTTGAGCATTTACATGTATTTCTTTGGGAATAAAAATGCACCAAAAATGCATGAATTTGCCTGAATGGAGCTACAAAAGTAGCTCCAAAACTTTTTTGAGCTTCAGGCGACTTGGAGTGGAGGTGTGAACCATCTCCATAGAGTAATATTGATTTTTTTTTCTCCCTGAGCGTTTTGGAGCTTCGAGCTACACGCTACAAAACGCTCAGGTGTGAATGGGGCCTAAGGGTCACTGTACATGTTACAATGCGTCTATATAATCTTACCACAATCCACTGTCCCAGAACTATGTCATATGAGGAACTACCCAAACTATTAATCAATTCTGGCAGGCCTTTGTACTACACACTTGTACAATCTGATTGTAACAATTATGGTGGTGAGCTAAAAGGGTGCATCTGCATTGACTAACAATGTAGAGAGGTATTTATGCTTACCATCAATGTAAGGGGAGCATTTACACCGATCAACAATGTAATGGGGGCAGTTACACCAATAGGAAATGTAATGAGGGCATTTACACCAATCGGCAATGTAATGGGGGCAGTTACACCAATAGGAAATGTAATGGGGGCATTTACACCAATTGGCAATGTAATCGGGACAGTTGCACCAATAGGAAATGCAATGGGGGCGTTTACACTGATCAACAATGTAATGGGGGCATTTACACCAATAGGAAATGTAATGGGGGCATTTACAGCAATAGGAAATGTAATGGGGGCATTTACACCAATAGGAAATGTAATGGGGGCATTTACACCAATCGGCAATGTAATGGGGGCATTTACACCAATAGGAAATGTAATGGGGGCATTTACACCAATCGGCAATGTAATGGGGGCATTTACACCAATCGGCAATGTAATGGGGGCATTTACACCAATCGGCAATGTAATGGGGGCATTTACACCAATCGGCAATGTAATGGGGGCATTTACACCAATCGGCAATGTTCAAGGGGTTTTTTTATTTGGAGGGAGGATGCCCATTGACCAAGGACCAGAGGGGAGCATAGGCCACCATGGAGAACCAATAAGTAGGAGGTATAAATACAGTAGGTGTGCAATGTAGGCCATTGATTATCAGAAGTAACCTACAAAACCATCAGCAAATAGAGCTGTTCATGACGGAAAAATTTGTTTCATTTTGGATTCAAAGTTATTAATTTCTTTTCATCATATTCGCTATGTTTGAACGATTTCTTTTCAGAATTTGTTTCGCATATTTGGTATTTTCAAATCGATTTGAAATTCAAATTTCAGAAGATGGCTGTATTTGTTCTATTTTATTTTATTCTATTCTAATCTGTTCTATGCTTTTCAGTTCCAT